TTAAAGTCTCTGTTCTTTTCCCTCCAGGTTCACAGACATCTGATCACTGATTTTATTAAAATATGATCCTACTGTAGATATTTTCTCTGTTATTTCAACACCTGAAGCTCTGAAGGCCTCAAGCTGCTGCTTAGTTCATTTATGCTTTGGGCCGGCTCTGAGTGTGAAACACCTGGTTCTAACTAGGATTTATATAATCTAATATAATCCATGGGCCACGATTACAAAGTTTCCTACATGATTATTTGTCCCAGAAGTTACTGACAAAAAAATATTTGGGGAATAACAGTAATGAGAACAGACGATCAAATATCAATAAACTTTAAATTCTAATGAATGTTTAACCCTGAAACTGGAAGACATTTCAAATATGTGAAAGTCATAATTATAAAGTTTCTGTAAGTGAAATAGTTCTTCAGAAAAATGTTTGAGATCCAAACTTCAAACTGAAGAGTTTTATTATCCAGTTTTGGTAGAAAGAGACAAAATACAGGAAGAATAAATCAAACAAATGGAAATGATTGAGTTTATTTTCTCTTATCAGGAGATAAATTGATTTATTGCTTGTTGGGACAGAGATATTAATTTATATCATTTTGGTGTTTGATGTTTAAGACTATAATTGTGTTTAAATATTGTTGAAAATGTTTTCCATCAACACAAACTACCTGGTTGAATTATTACATGGTCTGAAAACTTTTAATCCTGATTAAAAGCAGAAAATATTCTTGTTGATGATCAGTTAGTAAAATGCATCTTACAGTATTTGTCCATTGTAGCCTGGGATCATCTCTACATTCATATTATGGGCTGCAGGTGTGACTCACCTGTAGAGACGACCTGGCAGCAGGTCACAGACAGCAGCAGCAGAGACGCAGGCAGAGCGGAAAACATGTTGGTTCTGTTGGTTCTGTTGGTTCTGTTGGTTCTGTTGGTTCCTGGTGAGATCTGTTGGTTCTGGTTGGTTCTGTTGGTTCTGTTGGTTCCTGGTTGGTTCTGGTTGGTTCTGTTGGTTCTGTTGGTTTCTGGTCGGTTCTGTTGGTTCTGTTGGTTCTGTTGGTTCTGGTTGGTTCTGTTGGTTCCTGGTTGGTTCTGTTGGTTCCTGGTTGGTTCCGTTTCTCAAACTGAAGCATCATTTGATCAAAACACAAAACAGAAAGTTTAACTTTAAACAGAGAAACATGTTGGAGGTAAAACTAGTGAAATAAACTCAGAAAGATGAAACTCACAGCACAGAGATGGAAACAATGGAGTTTCTGTCACTGATGCAGCTGCCAGGAAGCGTCTGATAAAATCAGCTAATTATGTCAGAGCAGAGGAAGAGGAGAGGAAGAGGAGAGGAAGAGGAGAGAGTTTCTACTGAACTGACCTGTTTTCTATTTAATAAACAAATAGAGCTGTGGTGGAATTATTCTGCTTGCTTAGTTTTATTCTTTATCAGCTTGAGTTCTAAAGGGTGTGTGTGTGCATGCGTGTGTGTGTGTGTGTGTGTGAGTCCTTCAGGTGTAACAGGAACTTTCTCCTCTGGTGTCAGACTGACATCATGTTGGTCTTCAGATGTTTTGCTGTGGATTCTTGGCGTCTGCAGCTGATCAGACGGTGGAGTTCCAGGTATAAGTTCATATTTAAAGGGCAGATGATAAATAAATGGAATCATTTCTTCCTATTTTGGTTATAATTCAGGTAAATAATGATGTAGCTGCATGTGACAAACTGAACCATCGGATATTAAATGTTCAGCAGGTTGAACCGGATCAGAGACGTTGCTCAGAAATAAAATTTGAGATTCAGCAGAGCCACATGAGGAAGAACAGAGGTGATGAACCGCCAGCGACAAACGCAGGACCTGATGCAACATGTCAGGAGAAATGCTGATGCAGCTGATGGGCTATCAGTGATCTAGAACAGAATCTGTTGGTCTCATTTTCCCACTGCTCAGTTAACCAAAGTGAAATCTCTAAAGAACTTAAATCAGTAACAAAATGAATAAAACTACATAAACATGAGAAACCAGAGGGCTCAGAGCTGATCCACTTCCCTCCTCTGTCCCTCCTGCAGCACACCTCACCACAGTCTGACAGCCGTTCATGTCCTTCACCACACCAACATGTTTCTCTGTTACTCCAGACTTCCTCATGCAGAACCACAGCTCCTCTTCTCTAGATCTACGAAAACACGATGCAGCTCCTCTGACTTTCCATCAACATCTGCAATGGTTGCATCTGTGGTTCATTTGTAGGCATGAAACCGACCTGCTGCTCACAGATGACCTTTGACCTCAGTCTGGATTCAACAACTGTTTCCCATAACTTCACTGAATGCCTCATCAGCTTTATTCCTCTGGAGTGTCACAGTTTAGTTCATCTCTCTTGTTCTTGGTAAAACTGGTACCAGCTCACTTCTCCTCCATTCCTCTGGCTTCCTCTGAGTCTCTAGGATCTCATTGAACAGCCTCGTCAAAAACTCTCCTGGACACGTCCAGACCTCCAGTATGTCATCTGGACCAACTGCTTTTCCACTCTTCATCCTTTTCAATGCTTTCCTGGTTTCATCCTCACTAATCTTTGCTACTTCCTGATCCACAGGTCCAGTTTCTTCTCCTCTTTGTTTTCTTCATTCATCAACTTTTCAAAGTACTCCTTCCATCTTCTAGTCACTTTTTGCGTCTGTCAGAGGTCCATGTTGGTCCTCAGTCACCTGGTACATCCTTTCCATCTCTGTATAAGCCCTTCTCTCCCTCTACCTTCACTTTACGCTGCATCTTCATCTCTTTCTCATCCATTCATCTCATTCCCAGCCCAACAGTTCCAGTCTTTGCATGTTGTTCTAATACTGTTGTAATAAACAGTTTATTTAAATTTAAAGTTATGTCAACATTGGTACAAGCATACTTTTAGTAAACTTATTTAGTAAACTTAATACTGTCATGTCGGGTTTTAATCGTCTGACCCACATCAATCAGTAAAATGATGTTTTATTGCAAAGAGTAACAGTCAGAGGAGGAGGAAAACTGGTCCGGAGTGGTGAGTTCAATGACTGGAGGAAATGGCAAACTGCAGGGAAAAAACTGAACTTTCTTACTTTTGGCTGAGATGATCTGGACTGAGGGGAGTCTGATGGTTCCTGGAGGATAACTTGAGGTCGGGTGTTGCTCCTAAGCTTAAGGCGGCGGGGCAGCAGTGGAGGGCGGATCAGGTCTGATCGGGTCTCTTAAAGGCAGGAGAGAGGAGGGCAGCCAGCGTGGAGGTTTGATCTCCAGGTGGGATACAGGAGGAGAGGTTCTGCGCTGGATCTCCACAAAAGGTTTCACAGCTTCTACAAGGAGAAGTCCTGTGGAGGCACAAAAAACAAAATCACTAGGAGTTCACGAAGAGCGACCACTGGGAAATTCAGGTGGCCTGTGAGACCAAAACTGGCAAAACACTCTGGCACTGCTGTGTCGGCTGCCTCCTCCTCTTATGCTCCTCCAATGACATCATGTAGTTATCAGCTGGTCCACGCCCTCCAGGAATGACGGCCAGGCGCCCCCTGAAGGATGGACGGAGAAACAGCAACCCTGACAACATACAGGAACCCAAGAAATACCTTGTATACTTAAAATGTTTGGAATATAGTAAAGCATAAAAACTTCCACAGATGTGATGTATGGATAAGAAATGTGCTGAGTAAGCAGAATGTGACGTTGATGTGCGACACAACAGTCAGATCATCTGTTATGTTTGATTCACTCTTTAGTTGCATATTTCATATAAATAATTTTACTTTACAAATGAATAAAGACGAATCCTTAAACATCGATGGTCAACATGTAGCTAAATATTTAATGTTTAAGATAAATATTTAGTTTGGACTCTGATATTTATAAATGTAGGAACAAAATGGTGAAAATATGACTGAGAAATGATCAGGAACATTTTGTCTCTATGATGATCTAATAAACCAGATGTTGCTGTTAATCCTTTATCCTTTACAGTGGATCCGTAACCCCACAGGGATCCACTGAAACGTGAAGCTGCATCAATAGATTCTCTGTTGTCAGATATAAACACTGAAGATTCACATAAACAGGTGGAGAAATGAGAGATTCCTAAATGTGACACGTTAACCAAGAGTTTTAGCTTGTGGGAGAAAACATATCAGGAAAATCCCTCAGCGACACTGGAGTTTGGTTAGATCTCATCATTTAATCCTGCACAGTAACAGATTAACATATATATTGTCTTAAAAGCTCAACTGAAATTCATGTGAATATATCTTTGCTATTTTTGCCTTTTCCAGCTTTGGATAATTTACAGCATAATTTTCTCATTATGAAAGTCACAGCTGTGATGTGAAAAGCAGCAGCTTCACCCTGTTCACACAAACAGCGTGAAGCTGCTGCTGATGGAAAATGACCAGACCTGATGCTTCACACGTTTTGAGTAAGAATAAAAGTGCTGACTCACTTTTTATGAAACTAGAACTAGACTCCTTACTGAATTGATCACTTTTCTCATCTGAATAAACCAAACCTGTGTTGCTCTAACGGATCAGAACCAAGAGATCAGAAAAGGAAACTTTATGTTGAAGCTTTTCTTCTTCTTCCCAGAGAAACTTTGATTCCTGCAGCAGGTCAGACTGACAGACCAGAAGCTGCAGCTGGAGATCTGACTAGAACCAGGAGGGATTCAGCATTCAGCTTCTATGCACCACAAATCTGGAACAAACTTACAGAAAACTGTAAAACAGCTGAAACACTGAGTTTCTTTAAATCTACACTAAAAAGAACTGATTTTGAAAGATTGTAAATTACAAATTGACCAACATATTTGATGTGTAATGATGTTTTTTATGACATTTGATGTTTTTGCAAGGCAGCAGCTCTACCCACTTCACCACTGTGCAGCCTGGAAACAGATCAATAAATGGATCATCAGCAGCAGTTGAGTTGTTACTCCTCCTGTTAACCACCAGAGGGCGCAGTTGTGTCGCTTCATGCCGCTTTGGGGTTTTCAGCAGGAGGTTTCTGATCAGGTCAGGTGCTGCTCACCTGAAACAGTTGCCATGGAGACGTAAACTTCCTGATGATGCAATAGAAGAGAAGCTGCAAACCGATTCTGTTCTGAGAAAATGTTTAAATTAATAATAAACTTGTTTTTTTATTAAACACAACAGAAACAACAAAGTCTCAGTCTGTTGCTGGAACTTTAACATTTTTATTAAATAATTTTGTTGTACTATTTTAGACACCTTTTAATTAAGAATATTGTAAAATTAGTATTTTTTGTTAATGAGGGCTATTTAATTCAAACAGTCTGAGTGATGCTGCAGATCTACCTGACATATTTCTAACCTGAACACAGGAAATAATCACTTTCTGCTTCCTGTCCTGAGTCGCCCCCTGGTGGCACAAAACTGACATTACAATCACACTGTCTCATCAAACGTTCATATAAATATGAATATAATTAATTCACCACTTAAATGGAGGATTTGGAAATTAAAGTGACTTTTCTCTTCAGCTAAATTTGTGATCAGAGTAAAAATATTACTTAGATCCTCAAATCTGATTAATAACTTTAAATATGATTTGTTAAATGTTATAAAGTTGAGGCTCTGGATCTCAGATCTTCAGATAATCAGAGAGGAAGATCTCAGAGGGAAGCAGGACGACATGAACAGATAAATGATCTGTGGAGATGGAGAGAAAATAATCATGAAAAAATATTTAGATATTTTAGTCTGCGTTAACTGGTTCTGGATTATTGGAACATTTTATGTTTTTGTAATTTAGTTTCCAATATTCCCATTCTGAACCAGATGCTGCCCCCTGCTGGAAAACATTGATATTACCAGAGTGTTGCGTTATGTTCAGATTGACATGAATACATTTTGTGAACACAGATAAAAAGTTAGTTATAACACCAGTTCACAGAATCTCGTCATAATTATCAGTTTATTATAAAAACAAAAGCTGGATCAAATACATACAGGTAATTATTCATACACCTGGCAGGTTTATGTTGATTAAAACACAGAAAAGGTGAAGAATCACAAAGAACTGAATGTCCTCCTTTATCTTTTCTATTATTTTTATCCTTCTTCCTGAAGATGTTTCAGTATTTATAAAACCATAATTATGGTTTTATGAATAAAACCATAATGATGGATATCCTCCATTAATTATTCATGAATGATGCAGAGCCTCACATTGGGTTTCAGTCATTTTGTTCAGTTTCAGGTTTTGTCACAACGTTCAGTGCAGAATCTGACCTGATGACTGAAACCATTGAACCCAATCTGATCCAGTCTGACCCAGTCTGATCCGGGCTATGAGCTGATTCTACCACTAGGGGTCCTCAGTGTCCTCCTGTTTCCTGATGATTCAGTGTTTTTATTATTTTCCTTTCATTATTCTGCTAATCTGTTCAGTGTTTAATAATCCTGCTCTGATTTCTGACCTGCTGCTTCCTGCTTTATCCTCCATGTAGCAGGTGTATAGTTAAAGTTTATTGTGGGGTATCATTTTGCTGCCTGTCCTGATAGCAGCTAATGCTACTTTTACTTGAGTCACATTTTACTTGCAGAAACAAAGTTCAGACTTGACTTGCACTTGAGGTTTGGGACTCGAGTGTTGGACGTTTATCTCATATTCAGGATAAATGTTTATTAAATGTTTATTAAATGTTTATTAAATGTTTATTAAATGTTCATCTCTTAGCTGTTTGTTTATGAATTTAGTATAAATCCTGATAAATTCAGGATTAATCTCACATTAGTTACTGGTCTGTAGACAGAAAAACAAACTCCTGCTATGTGATTTCTGTATGTTTAGAAACTTTATTTAATTATCTGATATTGTGAGTTTTAGTAAAAAAAATAAATATTTTCATTTCTCATCAGTTTTAATTCTGTGATGCATTAATGAAGCTCAATTCATATAATTCATAAAGTGAATAACTTTTCTTTTTATAACTTTATTTTTGTTTTTATGATGTGAATCACTTTAAACTGTCCTGTTGCTGAAATATGAAACTAATAAAGTTGATTGATTGAATAATTGGTGTTATTTGATAATAAATCATTAATTTGTCATTAGACTCTCCCAGCGTTTTGTTCCTCCTCCCTGGTCCTCAGCCCCCCTGCTCTGCATGTCTAGATGAGCCTCTGTTCCAGAACAGCTGATCCAGATGATTTCATGACCATCAGGAGCTGCAGATCCTGTTAATCACCAGAGATACAGAAGGGAAACACCTGAAACATGGAGGACAGGAGACCTGAGGACCAGGTGGAGAAACACTGGTTTAAACATTCATAAAAAGGCATCTCAGTGTAAACATGTGTTGTCATGCCAACAGTGTGAGCTGCTGTAATGTGTTTTCTGTCCTGTAGGTGTCAGAAGTGAGTAAAACATCTGAGTTTTAGTTTTAAAGGGACATTCTGCTGCTGGTTCTGGTTCTGCTCTGATTTCCTTCCTGTTGAGTTCAGACTCTTTGTTCTCATTGAATCGGTTTCACATCTGGATTCAGTTTGAGTTTCACTTGTTTTCAGTTTTAACTCAATAACCTGAATTCTTCCAGGAGTTTATAACTCAGAAACAGAGAGAGGAAATCAGGAATGAGCCGACCTGCTTTAATTTGACAGAAAATAATCCCTCACTGGTTTCATCACCAGATTAAAGGTTTTAAACCAGATTAAAGGTTTTAAACCAGGTTAAAGGTTTTAAACCAGGTTAAAGGTTTTAAACCAGGTT